GGGGGGGGGGGAGGACAAGGCCAGCTTGGCCCCCTTCCAGAGGACCGGCTGTCCTGGCGACAGCCCGTGGTCAGGTTCGGGAAGGCCGTGTGGGAACTCACCCACGTAATAGGAAAGGGTACGCTTGAGCCGGTCGAAGACAAACCAGCGCTTCTTCCACGATTTAATCTTGCCACCCATCTTGACCAAGTAGCCACGGCAGACCTGGGGGACGCAGGCGTAAGAAAGGACCCAAAAGCACAGCTCCTAGACCCCTCTTCCCTGAGCAGCCCAGAGGTGCCATCATCTGTGCCTGCATTCAGGGGGACTCTCTCTCCAGCCAGAACACCAGGCCCTGAAACAGAGGCCTCTGGCGTTAGGGCAGGAACTGAGGCCACTGCTCTGAGGGCCTGGGAGGGCCTCTAACCATGGGCCTCTCCCTGGCCTCCCGGGGCCATGCTCATGTACCTTGCTGCTGAGCACCACATGCAGGCAGGTGTCGACGCCATGGCCTGAGGACTCGATGTGGGTCTTCAGGTCAAAGTCCTCCTTCCGGACCGGCAGGTAGCGGGTCAATGGTCGCGCCTGGGAGCGGAGCAGAGGCAGGGTCTACAGTCTGCTTGCTCTCTTCCCCTTCATCCCTACCTGGGCCCCTTGGCTTCAGTCTCAAGTCCCCAACAGCCTGCTATCACTCCCTCCCCACCCCCATGGCCATCACTCTGGTTTCCCAAGGCTTGTGGCCAAGCGGAGACCAGCAAGCCTGTGCTGGGGATACAGCTGACTGAGACTCCACACCTAGGTTTCCCCACCTACGACTAAGGCACAGCCACACTTGTCTTGTCCCTGCCCCTCCTCTCTCTCCTGGGCTGAATGGATACAGCAAGAGGCCAGATATGAACAGGCACTGGGGAGAAAAGCTCCATACGAAATCTGGTCTCTGACTTCCAATGGGACCTTGTCTGAGCCATATCCCCTCAGGCCTCAGTGTCCTTGTATATAAAGCAGAGCTCTGAACTATATAATCATGAAGGTCTGTTCCACCTCAGACATCCTAATATTAACTGCAAGTCTCAGTCAGCTGGAACATTTTCCCACTCTTCCTTTCTGGGAAGAACATCAGAATGGCAAGAAAAGGAAACATCACAAACTAAAGGAAAAACAAAATGCACACCTTCGAGGAGGCAACCCAAAGTTGGGCTCACTCAACCCACCTCCCGCAGCACACTGATGGCCCCTGCAGCAACGCCTCAGCCCTGGGGTGGGGGCTGGAGAGTCCCACAGTGGCCCCCAACAGGCAGCAGGGGAGAGCTGGGCACTGGACAAAGCTCCAAGTACAGAGGTAAAACTCACATTTCCTGATTATTTTTCTTAATTCTCAGACCCACCCCAGGCAGCCTACACCCTCAATGTATGTTGTGGACCACAGGAAATCAGAAGCTGTGACCACTGGTCACCACTGGAGGCAGATCCCTTGGAGAGACCTATGGAAACCCAATAGAAGGGACAACCTGAGTCCCTTGGGCTCTCACAGGGGCTAGGATCTGGGACTATAGGCATGGGTACATTTCCCTACCCAACCTAATTTCTCCTTCTGCCTTTAAATGTTCTGCTCAAGTCTCCCATGTAAGGAGAAAGCCCCAAGTTGGTTTTTGTACAAGAATGGGTTCCTATCCCAAAGAAAAACTAGTGTCTTGGAGATGTAAACCAACAGCACAGCCAAGTCATCTGCTGCTGGTGGGGCCTGGAGCCAAAAGGTCTGGTGGAGTGAGGGCCAGGACAGCCACGAAGCCCCAGGGACAGGAGGCCACCAGGGAAGCAGCAGGGGGATACAGCACAGACTCAGGAAGCTAAGGCCCTGAGAGGCCAAGGGGAGCCACTCAAGTTCAGCTCTCAGCTCCCATCTCTGAGAGGCCTGTTTAGACCATCTTCTATGACCCCAGATGTCAGCAAGGTGGCCTGCCAATGTCCCCACAACCCACCCACTCCCAACACACACACACACACACACTGGCTTGAACAAGCCCCAATGGGTCTCTGTTCCTTGGGGCTGAAGGAGTCCCAGGTGGAATTCTGCGTGTGCAGAGCCAACACAATCTTTTCTGGAGTAGAATACCATTTACAGCCCAGCAGAGGTACCCCGAAATGCCCCGACCCCTCCACGGCCACACCCCCAAGCCAGGCGCCCACTATAGCCCACGCCAGCCATCACCTGGGAAAACTGTCTCTCCCGCATCTTGACCTCCTCCTCGACCAGCTGCTGCCTCCTCGTGCTCTCACTCTGCAGCCTCCGTTCCACCTGCTCCCGCCGCCTCCGCTCCTCCTCCAGGGCCTGGCGCCGCAGCTCCATCTCCTGCTCCTTCCACCAAAGCCAGGGCTCAGTGCCTACAGCTGCCCTCTTCCCCCGTCCCCAGCCTCCCCGTCTCAGAACAGGGCGGAGCCGCAGGAGGCACCCCCGCTCTCCAGGACCTTGCTGGTAAGAGTAAGTGCTTTAAAGTGAGGCTGCCCTGCTTCAAATCCTGGCTCGGCCACCAATGTGAACTGTGAGAACCTAACAAAATCATTTAAACTCTCCCTAAGCCTCAGTTGCCTCATCTGTAAAATGGAGCCAAGAGTGCCTACTCCTATGATCATAGTAAAAATTGAATGAGATCTTTATGCAAATGCGCATCACTGACTCCAGCAGGAAGGAAGCACTCAATAAGTCAGTGGGGCTCCTGTAATTCTATCTGAATTCCTAAAACATGGATGATCTGAACAACTTTTTTTGACAGTGAATATATTCAGTGGTCCTTCCCTAATCACTAAGGCCCTTTGAAACTCCAAATCAGAAACATCTGTACTTAAATTTCAAATTTTATGGGGGAAAATGAACTTACGAAAGCTGTATTAAAAGATTTTTAGTCATTAAAACAAATCATTAACCACAGAGCACGTCCACGATGTTTTATCTTAATCATGATGACTTTTATACCATTAACCCATTTGCTATTTCTTCCCAGCTTAAAACTTAGCAAAATCTCCTTTCTCTCCACTTGCCCAGAGATGCTGTGAACTTGCCCTCCTCTGATGTGAGTAGCTGCTGACTCCTGCTCCCTGGGCCCCACTCCCGTCTCAGGAAGGGCAGAGTGCCCCATGGTGCACAAGGGGCAGCTTCTGCAGATCCTTTACCCTGCCTCCTCCCGGGCCTGGGCTTCCTCAGCTGGCAGTGTGCAGGAGGAACTCCTGGTCCCTCTTTGATGTGTCCCAGCTCCAGGCCCACTTGAAGGAGATACAACTTCCCTCAGCCCCCACTGCTCTCCACGTCCCCCAGACAACACCTTTGCTCCGCCCTGGACACCCGCCTTCTCTTCAGTCCCTATTCCTCAACCTCCGGTTGCTGCTCTCCCTTAACCATCCCCCAGAGGAATGACCAGCCACCTGGGTGGGTGGGAATCAAATTCCCATGGTGGTCACAGCCCACAGAAGCAAACACACCAAGACTAGACGTTCCCACACAGGAAATCACGGTTGGACGACGGTTACTGTGCTGCCTCCTTTCCTACAAGCTGTGAAACATGAACCTCACCAAGCCTCCTATTCCCCCGTTTTTCCTCCAGGGCATGTGACAAGGACAATGTGAGCGAAATGACTTAGAGCACAGGCACTTGGCAGTGGGAGGCAGTGCGGGGCCCTACTGCCTCGATCTCTGTGGTCCAGATCTGCCTCACCCTCGACTCCATGAGCCGGCTCTTCTCCGCATGAGCTTCCTTCAGCATCTTCTCCATCTCCTCGAGCTTCCCCACTTCCAGGCCACTTACACTGGGGAAGGAAGGGGGAGAGTGGGTGCACCAAGGAGCTGAGGAGGCATCTGGCAGAGGCAGAGCGAAGAGTTGGCACCTCGGGCAGGATGGGGTGGAGGTCAGGTACCTGGACACGTTGTCGGGGGAACAGGCTGAGTTGCCTCCCATGGAGATGCTGGTCTCCATGCTGTCGGAGCTCTCCAGGCTCAGGGTGTCGTAGGCGTGCTCACCCTCCTCCCCACGTTCCCGCCCAGCCGGCAGGTGGTGCAGGATGGAGTGGTGCATGAGGGGGGGCAAGCCCAATGGGCCTGCCAGGAAGGGGGATGCCCCATGCAGGGCATCCCACTGGCACTGAGCCTCAGCTGCTGCTTTCTGCTTCAGTTCAGCCAGTCTCCGCCGCTGCTCCTCAATCACCTGCTGCCCTACAGGAGGGACAGGGGAGAGTCACAGGGGGCAACCTGTGTGTCTGGGGAGGACACCGGCAGCATCACAGACAGAAGGAAGAAGCGAGCAGGGAGAGGTTACCACAGGGGCCCACATCAGCCCCACAGCTCCAGGTCCAGCTGCACTGCCAGTGCTTCACTCGCCATCTGGCCACAGCTGCAGTCTAGCTTTAGTGTTCTTTCTGCATCCTGAGCCACACAGGTACCGAGCCTGCCCAGGTGGCACCTTGGCAGCATGACAGCCAGGTGGCTCCGGCTCACAACCAAAGCCCGAATAGGTGGGGACACATGCACCCCCTGCCTGCTGGGGAAGAGGCAAGGAAAAGATGGTAGGAGCCTCTTGAGCACAAGGGTGTCAGCGCAGACCCCGCAGCAATGCAGAAGCCAGAGCAACAGCAGCCAGAAAGGACAGGAACAGGGTGGCACAGCTGAGAAGGGGGAGCTCAGCTCAAGGTAGCCAGACACCCCAACCCAGCTCTGCCTGGGAGCCTGCCCTCGGGCACTGGGGGCCTGGACAGAATACGTCATGCAGATGCTTGGGCAGAGGCTGCCTGGCCAAAGCAATGTCCTCAGTGACCAACGCTCTACCTGCTGGCTCGTCAGTTGGGAGGGGCTCGGCAGGAAGCGACTCGACTGGTGTGGGGGACCCGAGCAGAGGGTAAGGTAGAGAGACACAGAGGGGGTGAGAGGAGAGAGAAGCACAGACGTGGGCTTTCTAAACAACCAAAAGGCACCCAAGCAACAAGGACTCCTGGGTCCCCAGAGCCAATATCTTAGGGAGCGATTTCTGGAGGCAAATCCATGCCCTGCCTCCAGACAGGGCAACGCACTTCCCTTATTTGCAGGGCTCTCTAGGAAAGAGCTCTCAGCTCCCTGCCCAGACCCGACAGTCCCCTGCCCTTTGACAAATACCCAGGAATCTACCCTTTAGGGATCTAATCTAGATCCTGTCTGCTGTTGCCTAGATCCCAATTAAAGAAAACCGTCCTATGAAAGGGCACGGGTGAGGTGGAGGGTGTGAGGCAGGCCCGAGGGCCCAGGAGAGCAGGTACGCTGGCACTGCAGCCACTCACCCTTCTGCTGCAGGGCCCGCTGGCGCTTGGTCTCAATGTCCTGCAGCGTGGCTGCCAGGTTGCGAGGAAGGCTGCCCGTGCCATTCTGGGAGAGCAGAGCACTCTGAAGGGAGACGGGACATTGGGACCTGAGGCTCAGAAGACCCCCCACAAGGCTTTCGTGGGTGGCTCTGGCCTCTCCCCGGTGTAGGAGTCTCCAACCCTACCACCACTATCCTGCTCTACACACGGCCCACTCATGTCCTCAGACCTTTGGGGAGGGGCTACGGCCCAAGGTAGCCACGCTGAGCTGGGAGGAGGAGGAGGAGCCAGAGGAAGAGGGAAGGGGGCCGCTGCAGGCGCGGGGAAGAGGGCTGGTGGCTTCACCATCCATCTTGGAGCGGTAGACCTGGAGGGAAGAGATACTGCCTGGTGGACTCCAGCTCCCCCACTGTCACCACCCCCACATCACCTAGGCTGGCTGAGACCCAAGGCCTCCATCTCTAGCTGACAACTGAGCCTCCTGGGCCACCCAATAGGCAGGTGTTATTGGCAGCTGCCGAGCCTGATCTCCAGGCTGTGCCTCCTTGGGCCAGTCCCTGGTCCAACTCTGTGTCTTAGAAAGAACCCTGTAAATGGACCCATGCAAAGAGTTAACATAGGCTGGGCAGAGCTGTACAGAAGACCAACTGGTGGCCAGGGTTCCCTCTGGTCCCAGCTCTGCCACTAACATACCGTGTGACTGAGCTATGCACCTCGCCACCCTGGGCTTGGGATTCCTTACCCGCAAAAGGAGTGAGCATGGCTAGCCTACACAACTGCCCGGCTCACTCACAGTGTTCGTGTTTGGGGATACGGTCTTTGGAGTCAAGAACCCTGATTCTCAGCATAGGCTCTGCAACTTCCTAGTTGTGTGGCCTTAGGGAAATAACTTATTTCCTCTGAGCCCAAATGTTTGGTCTGTAAAATGTTAACAATATCTACCTCAAAGGCCTGTGGTGATTAAATGAATCAAAACGTGTAAAAATCTTTAACCAGCTAAGCACAAAGGAGAGGTGCCCACTTATGCATGAACCAAACTCCTCCTGAAGAGAGCACGGAGTTCCCGCTCAGATCAGCCTCAGAGGTGCGATGCCTCACTCGAGGACAAGGTTTTGAACAGTGGGGTCTCAGGCACTAGAGCAGGTCAGCGGAGTGACTCTGGGGGAGACTATCAAATTCTCTCCCCATCCGCACGATCAGCAGCTTCCACAGGCTCAGGCAGGCCCGTGCCCTCCACAGAAACTCTGAGGAGACTCAGGCATGTCCTCAGGGCTATCACTGCAAAATTTTTGTCCGTCTCTGTCCCGCCTCCAAGTATCGCCCTGGGAAGACCAGGAGAGCACAACGCTGGCAGTCCTCCTAGGACACACTAGCTCTAGTGGCTATGAGCTCAAGAGTGTGTCAGGCCCCTAGACTGAGTGAGAAGCTCTGGGCTAAGGGCTGCCGAGCACACAGCAGAGACCCAGTCTAGCCCCCACAAGGCACTAGACGGACCTCCACCTGAGCACTGCTCCCAAACCCCTCCATTGGACAGTCAGTCATGTCACCTTTGGACTCATGAAGCTAGCCCTCCAGCTGCAAAAAGCGCCAGGATGGTTGCCTCACTGCCATCTCAGGGTCAAGAGGCCCCACGCTGCCCTGTCTGGACCGACCCCCCACCATTAAGGTTGCATGTGTGGCAGGAGGTTCCCAGAGCAGAGAGGGGCAGGGTCGGGGGAGGGAGGACAGTGAAGGGGGGGTTACCTGCAGCTGGCGAAAAGCTTTGGTGGGCAGAGGTGGGGGGGAGGGGCGAGGGGAGGCTACAGCAGGGCCAGTCCCCAGCCCGGCCATCAGCTCCTGGTGCCACTGCTCTAAGTCTACAGCAGGGAGCAGCAGCTTCTCCATCTAGAGGAGAGCATGGGAGGGGACAGGGTACCAGAGGGGAAGCATGGAGAGGAAAGGTCGGGAAAGGAGGGGAAAGGAAAGGGCAGGAGGGAGGAAGGAAAGGCAGAAGAAAGGGAAGGTGGGAGGAAGGTTAAAGGAAGGCCATAATCCGAGAAAAAGACAGGAAGGTGAGAGAAGAAGTCAAGGAAGGAAGGGAGAAAGAAAGAGAGGGAGAAAGGCAATGAGAAGGAAGAGAAAACAGTTGTCGTGAATGTGCTAAGAGCAAAGAGAAGCCATCAGGGTACAACTCCCAGAACATAAACAAGTGCTACGCCAACCATGACGCAGCCAACCAGGGCCCACAGGCACAGCCCACTGCCCTGGGGCTGGCCTGGAGTTGGGGGGCTAGGTGAGCAGGGCCAAAACACACACAGCCAGAGCCACAGCAGTAGTGGGCTGGGGGTGGCAGGAACACAGACCACCAGCCCTGGGGGAAGGTGTGATGGAAGTGGAGGAGGGGGAGGAGGGCAGCCCCGGAGGAAGGCAGGTGGTAGGAACCAGGTCCTGGGAGGCAGAGGTCTGGAGAGGCGGGCCTGGTGCAGGGGTTGTGGGCATGGGCATGGGCATGGGCGAGGTGTCCCACGTCACCTTCAGCTGCTCAAGCAGCACAAGCTTGGGGGAAGGCAGGGACCAGGAGGGAATACAAGAGGTTAATGGGACTGGGACCCCAGAGATGGTCCTGCCCATGGGCAAGGGAAGCACAGAGCAGAGGAGGCTCACATGGCCCCAGAAAGGAAAGTGAGTCCTCTCGCCAACGCCCCCCTGCGAAAGTGGAAGGCCTGCCCCTCCTCCAGCTGCCTGGAGCTGAAGAAAGCTGCTGAAGCCTGGGGAAGGGAGGCCTCCCAACCCCCTTTAAGCCATTGCCCTTCTCGTTCACTGTTGAAGACAAATCCTGCTATCCCCCAACCGAGGCCTGAGGGGCAATCTAGGGCATCTACAAGGAGGCCCTTGGGCATAGGTGGGCTCACTCAGTGGCTGGTGCCTCACTGTCAGGCAGGGGCTGGGCAAGCATGCTGAGGGGAGCAGCAGCAGCATAGGGGTCCACGCAGGAAAACCTCTGCGGGGCTCACAGGCGCCTGGGGTGCCCAGTGGGAGGGAGGTGGGGAGAAGAGGTTAACAGGTTTTTCCAGGTACCACACACCCAAACTTCACGCCTTACAGCATCACTCCATTCCCTATCACTCCATTCCATACAAAATCCAGAGCAAGGGTGGGAGCTCAGCTACCCACGGTAACCACAGATGGCTGGGGCTGGGGCAGAAAAGCGCAGGCAGACCAGCTGTCTGTGGGCTCTTCTTGGTCTCCAATTTTGAGGCCGCCTTGGCCTCCAGGCCCTGCCCCAAGCAGATCCTGAAGGCCCATCCCTGGGTTTGCCCTGGGCTGAGGGTAGGCGAAGAAGCCTGGGGAGAGCTTCCAAGAACCCACCAAGGACCAGGACCCAGCACCCAGTGCCCAGAGAACTCTTGTCTCCAACACCTTGGGCATCCCCAGTGGGGGCACACATGCAACACTGAACAGTGGTCACATCACTCTCGAGGGTCCCCATTCCCCCATCTGTTGGGGCAGGGGCTGGAAGGGGTGGGAGTAAAGACACCTCTAGGGCCTGAGCAAGAAAGAGACTTTGGCAGGAAACAGCTAAACACAAAAAGGGCCCACTGCCCAAAGGTTAGGACTTGGAGTGATGCTAGCACACTCGACTGTGGTATGGGAGAGCAGAGCCTGTCATATTCCCTGAGCATATCCTTGGGCGCCTAGCTTATCCAGGTGCTGGGGGCCTAGCAGGCATCCGAAATACAGGTCGAATCAAAGCACAGAATCCTGGGCCTGCCCCACCTGGGGGAGCCCATCCCAGTCTAGCTCGAGGCTGGCTATCCTCCAGGGGTCACAGAAAACAAAAATGCACTGGAGGGTCCAGTGTCTGTGAGAACTGACAAATGACATGCAGAATACATGCAAATTAATATGCAAAGTGATGCTTTGGTGTGTGTGTTTTATGGGCTGCCCAGGTACCTACGACACACCTCAATCACTCCAACTTGCAAACTCTGGCCAAAGAATTTGCCACACAACCTTCAGCTGGGCCCTGGGGAGAAGCTGTAGGCAGGAGCTCAGCAAGCAGGCAGACAGGCGGTGGACACAGCAGAGCAGGCAGTTAGCTCTGATTACCTCTTGTGCTTTGGGGCAGAGCTGAGTGAAAGCAGGTGGGGTTAAGGGGACAGAGGAGGTGCCAGTCTGAGGTGACCCTGGGAATGGGCCCAGAGCCATAGTCCCCAGCTCCATCTCCGAGGACTTGGAGATGAGCAGTTCAGCTGAGGGTACATAGTGAGAGGCCTCAGCCCTCGCACCCAGCCCAGCCACCCCAGCCCAGCCCAAAATTGCTCAGAAGCAGGGAGGAAGGAAAGAGCTCAGAAAACGGGGCATGTGACTCGGGAAAGGCTGGCTTAAGGGGCCTCAATGCTCACTTCTGAACTGAGCCTAGTTCTTGACCAAAGCCCAGGGTCTCCAAGATCAGGACCCCTAGAACCCTATGTTCCCCCCGAAAGTGAGTCTTCCCAGCCCTGGCATTTTTCCAAACCTCTTCATCATGTATTCAGTCACCCAAAGTGGCAAGATCAGTGGGCTCCTGGGAGCCACAAAGGTAACTAAAAAAAAAGCAGCTGGTAGCCATAGAGGGTCAAGTCCCAGGCCTCAGGACCATTCCAACTCACACCTCTCCAGTTCAGGAAAGTGCCCCCATACTCAATCTCAGCCATTAGGGTGAAAGTGCCACATTTTGCTCCAGAACCTCCCTAGGGAGACCCTTGGGCCTGAAGCTGGGCTGAACCAACCACGTTACCTCTTTGAGGGTTGATGTGGTCTTCGGGAAAGGCCTGCCCCCTGTGAGCGAGTGGTATCTTCTTTCCAACACAGTTAGTTTCTCCTTCTCCTGCAAGCCCAAAGTGGCGGAGAATCACACAGGAGTGGGAGCGACAGCAAGGGAGACCAGGTGAAGGGGGAACCCTGCACTCCCCTCTCACCCCCATCACCCCCTGCCCAGCTGAGCTACCTTCTGCAGCAGCTGCAGGGAGGCGTTCTTGTCCCGGGCCAGGCGCTCCGACTCCTGCACAGCCTGAGCCCGGATCTGCCCAGCCTGACTGTCCAGGACTGCCAGGCGCTCCTGGAGGAGATGGGAGTGATCAGGCAGGCCCTGGGGGAGACAGGGCTGAGCCCAAGGTCAGGCTTGGCTGTCTCTCCTGCCCAGAGAGCCTGGGCTTGAGTGAAGGGAATCAATCAGCTCTTCTGCTTGGCCTCAAGTCTCCCCAGGAAAACTCAGGCTGCTATGGTCAGCTCCCTCCCTCACCCCTCCCTTGACCAGTGACCTCTGTGCCACCAGGCAAACCAGCCAAACCCAAGTCCTCAATCTCCCTTCCCTCCACCCCCACAGTCAACATGTCCAGAATCCTGAAGATACTAAACAGTTCTCCACCTGCCCCATCCCCCCACCCTAACTCCACTGCCACCACCCAAATCCAGGTCCTTTGCTTTCCTGGCCTGGACTTTCTCACCAGCTCCTGAGTCCAACCCTCTGCTTTCTGATCCGTTCCACATTGCCACAAATACTTCTCTAAACTGGCCTTTGAAGTTTAGTTTTTGTTTGCCTGCTCATCTGAATTTTCTAATCTTTTAAGGAGAATATATATTACTTGAATAACTTTTTAAAAAATTATTAGTAAAGTTAAATCACCCCTCTTCTGAGAATCTTTCAGTGACGCATCCTTACTCCCGGGATAGAGCACGAACTCCTAGGCCAGCATCAAGGGCCCCCAGAACGGGGTGCATACTTTCCAGCTCCCTGCCCACGCTGAGCCCTGCGTGCTCGTTCGGCCAGGCTGTGCCAGGTTGCACACTCCACTATGAAGTGTGTATTCCTGGCCTTGCTTACACTGTCCCTTACTCAGCCCAGGAGAGCCATCCCTCTCTTCTTCATCCATCCAGAGCTTGCTTATCCCTCCAAGACGGGTCCAAACACTGTCTTTTCTGTAAGATCTTCTTCAGCCACCGCTCAATGTCTTTGTTCCTCTTCCTGTGCTCAAATTATCCCGTCGCCATCTGCCTTATATTGCTGTTGCTCGTGAATACAGCTGATGTCTCCGTCGCCACCACCCCGCCCAGGCTGTCAGGTCCAACAGCAGGGCAAGCTTCTTTCCCATCTCCATATCCCCACTAGGGCTTAGCACAATGCCTGGCTCAACCATCATGTGCTAAAAAAATTAAAAGACGGTGAAAGAAAAGGACAGGGGCTGGGGAAAATGGCTGGGTCAATCCCGAGAGGGCTTCCTGAAAGAGAGGGCCTTAAACCATCACCCTTAAGAGCAAGGCATGGGAGGAGGGAGAGAAGGAAGCGGACCTAAATCTGGGGTCAGCCCAAGAAAAGACTGAAGCAGAGAAGGCAGTAATCCTCACAGCAAGATCTGCTGTTTGCAGGTTACTGAGAGCCTATCAGGGCCCAAGAGCTCTGCTAAATGCTTTGCACTTGTTACTTCCTTTAACCCTCTTAGGAGGCAGGTACCTTTATGCCCACTTTACTGATAAGAACACTGACGTACTTAGGAGGTAAAGTATCTTGGCTAATGAGTGGTAGAGCTAGGATTAGAACCAGACCTGTTGGGCTCCAAAGCCATACTCTGAACCACTCTGACCAAGACTGGAGAGGACAGGGAAGCACAGGGCACCAGGGCAGACAGACGGGTGGGTGGGACACTGGGAGTCGAGAATGAAAGCTGAGCAAGGCTCATGAGGAGATGCACAGGGGAGAATGTGACCCTGGGTCCCAGTGGCTGAGCTTGTTTCCCAGGGCCTGGGTGGGCATGGGGAGGAAGGACCAGGAGTCCAATACTGCTGACCCCTCCCAAGTTCCCTGGAGCTTATTCCCACCAGGACCTGGAAGCAATGGAATTAGCTGATCCAAGGCTCCCTGATGCATTCGCTCCAGAAGGAAAGAAAAGGCCAGAGAAGTGCCAGCCCCCAACCCAGTGCAGTATAGTGTAGACAGAACAGGGCTTTGGGGCCAGCAGGCCTGGGTTCCAATTCTAACTCTAGAGCTTATAAACTGGGAGGGTCGGAACAAATCTGGAGCTTCTCTGAACCCTGGTTTCTGTGTATGGGGTGGGGCAAAAATAGGTTTACAAAACCTGTACAAAAGTTGTGAGTAGGTGAAACACAGAGTTTATTCTTGTATTATTTTTTTTAATTTTGAATATTTACTTATAGGTTAAAAGCCTTTATGTCTGTGGCTATTGGAATTAGGTGTCAACACTTATCACTCAAGACACTAACCAGGAAAGTTAATTATGGCCTCTAGAACTACTATACAGTCAAACACCAGCCTGAACAACTAGACAAGTTTACTTTCTCACACGTATCAGAGTGTTGCTTCAACAATAAGAAGTAGTTTCAGAAGGCAACAGGCAGGAGCATGGGACTTATCTTTACACTGGCACGTTTCAGCGGCTGGTCTCATTTCTGGTCAAGGAGCTTCTCCAATTGATGGCTGATATTTTGCAGATGGCTTTCAGCCCCTGAAAGGGTTCTTTGAATAACAGAGCTGGAAGGCTAGATGCATCATACGTTTCCTTTATATTTGGTTCTCTCTCTCAAATATCTGAATAATCTTGATGAAGTTGTTTTAAATTAGATAATATGCTGCATTCCTAAGGGAAGGTTTTCTCTCCCTCAGTTCATCGTATTTTGTTTGTAGTTGTTTCAGCTGTGGTTCTAAACAAAGCAGTTCATCCTGGACTTCAATTAAACACTCTTTTCTTTTCAATATCTGAGATCATCTTAGCATTCTTCCTCCTCAGTTTTCAACATCTGGACTTGTGTAAGCATTCTGATGAGTTGTTCTTTCATACTAGAATGAAATTTGCTGATCGCTTCCTTGCAAATTTTAGATTCAATATTTTGACTATACTTGGGGAGTGTTTTCTCAAATGCTGACAAAACAACATCTAAGTCCATGATGTCACTGCTTTTCTTTCCTTTTAGACACAAAATATGTGTACAGTTGGAAATACCTGAGTCCATGCCTTCATTTCTTGATATTTTTTTTGCCATGAAACACCTTCTTTTTCTGAGCTTTCAATCCACTGTCTGTTGCCGGGGTCTCTTTTTCAACAGAGAACTTGGCACTGAGAGGCCCTATCTTTTTAGGAGTGCCAAGTTCAGCTGATTCTTCTGAGAGTTCTGAAGATGATATAGCTTCATGCTGCTGGCTACTTATTTTCTCTGCTGGTTTACCTTCTTTTATCATATCCCTTTCGTTACAGCTCTCAGATCCATCGCTAATGGGCTTGAGATTTCTCCCTCACTTTTTCACATTCTTTTTCACAGGCTCACTTTCACTTTCTTCAATTTCAAAACTGTTTGAACTTCTTTTTGCTTCCTTTCCTTGCAGAGTGGAAGGGAGAGATGATCCACAGTGTTTGGAGAGCTCAGCTTCTTCAGCGTATATAGCAGTGCTGTGCAAAGGGGGCTCAAAGGATTCACAAGGTTCTTCATCTTTCTCATTTTCATTCATCCTGCCCACGCTTGAGATATCAGAATGAGTAGAAAAATCATACACATCACTGGGCTTGCGCAGTTGGTTGGCTTTATCTTTTGGGGCACGTGTTCTTCCTGCAGTGTTCTTTGAATATCTCCCACCTGCGCCTCACGGCTTCCATACCCGCCACCAAGGCCACCCAGGCTGAAACCGCTCTCCGAGCCCGCAGAGACCATGCATCTCCTGCCCTATTCTTGTATTATTTATTAATTATTGTGTTACTGTCCATACAAACAACTGTAAGCCTATTTTTGCCCCACCCTATATATAAGAGGAGGTAAGAGTACTGGGCTTAGGAGGCATCCTGATCTCAGCTCAGCATGACACAACACAAGGAAGCCTCCTCACACCCACAGGTTTGGGAAGTGCTAGCTTTTCTCCTTCTTTGCATCTGCCTCACATCAGAAGTGGGTGCACTTGTAAGGCAGAGCACCTAGGGGGGTCCAGTGGCTCCCCACTTACCACCAAACCCAGGCTGGCTGTCAGGCCCCCAACTCACCACTTTTTGACACCCCTCCCTGATCTCTGTCCTCACCTCCCACACACTCCAGCCAGGCAAACTGCACAAGCATGCATGTGTGTGCGTGGACAGGCAGGGGAGCCACCTGAGCCATCCTCCCATTCTCCTCCCTGACATCCTCCTAACCCTTGCTTAGCACAAGCCTCCTCCCAACGTGACTCCCACCCTCACACACTCATTCCCGCCCCACCGCCTGCCCTGCTCTGCTGAGGTCAGAGGCAATCATGGCATCTGCAGTGGAGCTCTGGGACAAGCCAAGACACCACGGCCAATCCCCTTGTTTTACAGCTCAGTGAGCCAGGGCTGAGCCAAGGCTGGAACCCAGGTGGTGCTCTATCTAGAGCCCCTGGCTGGCTCGAATATCCAGATCTCAGGTCTTTGTATGTGTCCCAGCACTTCCACCAGACAGAGAGCTCTGCAAGGGCATGAGCAAGCCTACAGTTCAGCCTCCTCCCCCACCCCCATCTTTCCCTTCCCTGCCCAGCCAGTGCCCAGCTCAGAATGTGAGCCGATCCACTCTCCACTGGAGACCCGGAGGAGCAGGGCTTCATAGCAATAGCTCCTGTTCGCTGAGTGCTCACTGTGATCATATCCTATCCTGTCTTCACATCACCTCGGTTTAATTCTCACAACAGCCTGTTCATGTTTCATGATGAGGAAACTGAGGCTGAGAAAGGAGACGTTAACATTCATGAGGCCATCAACTGGACTCAACCCCAAGCAGCACTGTGTAGCACCCACGGTGGGACTGGGGCAGGACACACCTTCCTCTTGGCCACGCTGCGGAGCAGCTCCGCCTTGCTCAGCAGCAGCCCCTGGCCGGCCAGCTCGCGCTCCTCCTCCACCCGGCTCTGCTGCTCCAGCTGCTGGAACTCCAGGTCCTCGAAGAGCTTCGTCTCGGTCTCCAGGGCCTCTGCCTCCTTGAAAGACAGTGACAAAGGGGGTTGGGTGGTGTTCGAAAATACCACTCTGGGCCTGGAAGGCCAGGCCACAGAGGTGTGAGTTTTGGGGGCTGGACCAGGGAAGCTGGGGAAGGGACCTGCCCCCATCCAACCCCTTTCCTCTGCTTGCTTTGCCCCTTTCACAGGCACCACCGCCTGCGGCAGCAGAAAGGAAAAAGAGATCCCCCAATCCTCCCTGTCCCTCCAAACCAAAGCACCGACCCTGGCGTCCGGGCAGGTACTGCAGGGCCCAGGTGGTCCTGTCCCACGCTCTCCTCTCTCCTGGGCAGGTGGCCTCAGGGCCGGGGAGGGGGCTGGTGAAACTGACCCTTCTCAGCTGCTCCTGTAACTGTTCCCGCACTGACTCGGGGCAGTTATCGAGCTGCATCTGGAGCTTGGCGTAGAGCGCCTGGCGGGCCTCCAGGTGCCTCCGTCCCGCGGCCAGCTCCGCGCGCTCCTGGTCGGGGAGGCGAGGGCGGGCGCGGGGAGAAACAGAGCGCACACTCCTCAACTCCGGCGGCGGCGGGGCGGGGAGAAAAGACAGAATAACGCGGGGAGCAACCCGCAGGAGGAAGCGGAGAGCGGACAGGGGAGAGGGAGGCGCAGGGGGAGAGGCGGTGGGCCCGGGCAGAAATTCTGGTCTCGAAGCCCCTGCACTAGAAACGTGGGCGCAGGCCCAAGAAAAGGCCCTGCTTTCTCTCCACACCAGCCGCCCAAAGGCGGCTCCACATCACAAGTGGGGAGCTTCCAGCTCCAGCACCTCGCCCTCTTCCACTGCCCAGAGACCAAAATTTAACCCTGGGGGAGGGTAGAGATGGTGAGGGTTAGATCCAGGGGCTGGGTGTGAATCAGCGGAGGACTCAGAGCCACGCAGCGCAGCGGGGACCCCAGCCCAGCCCCGCGCCTCCCTGCCTCCCTCCCGCGGGGGGCGGGGTGCTGGCACAGCAGGCTGAACTTCAGCAGGGTGAGGGCTGCAATTAGTTCAGGCGTTGCCATGGCAACAGGTGCCCCGTGAGTGGGTACAGAGGAGGTGGATGGCTCTGTCTGGGGCTAGATGACACCTCTGAGGGCAGGGAAGGGAGGGGAGGAGCTGGTGAGTCACCCTCCTAAGGACAGGCAGAGGAGAAATGGTGACTGCTGATTCCAAAGCCAGGGTGGGGCCGTGGGCTAGGGGCTGGGGAAAACTGAGCGAGGCCACCCCCCCACCTCAAATAACTGGGCCCAGAGAGAAGGCAAAGTCCAGGACTCCAGGCAACGCCAGGTAAATGAGAAATGCGGTTAGGCAGGTTCCTTCTGAACTGATGAGCCAGCTTCACCTGGGCGTAAGACCCTATGCTGAACCCTGTCCCCACCCACCCCTACACTCCACCCCATCCCTGAGAGGGCCTGACCAGTTCAGTCCTGGGGTCCAAGCACTTCCCCACCGCTGGACTCAGCCTTTACAGTACCCTATGTTCTGGATGACTTGGGGGCAGGAGATGGGGAGAGGCTCCCATTCCCACCCTCTGCTTGAGGTATCTGAATTTGGGCAGAGTCCCTGTCCCAGCCCTCCACAAGCCACGCTGCCACAACTAGCCTCCTTACCCCTCTGCTGTGGAGGGAAGGCCGGCAGATGGCTGGAGGACAGCGGGCCTCGCCCTCCAACAGTCTGTGGAGGCAGCACCCAGGCTTTTCCCAGTGGGAGGAGCTCTTCAGGCTGAGAGCTCCTCACCCAAGCATTTCCCTCAACCTTGTCCCCATCCTGCCAATGCCCCATTGAGTCAAGTTGAGCTGTGCACCTTGCCCATTCCTTTCTGATCAAAACCCTGGGGTCCCACACCAAGAAAGGAAGAAGGCAGCATTAGAGGGGAGAGGCCAAAAGCCTGTGGAGTTAGTGCAAAAGCAGCACAGCTCAGCCCTGCCCGGGTGGCACTGGCAGTTAGGGGCATGCGCAGAGCCCAAGACAGTGATTGGGACAGTGGGGGGTGGGAGGGCGTTAGTGCAGGCCTGTTTGATAAGCATGGAGTTAATTTGGCACAGAATTTGGGAGTGTGGTTTTGGGGGCCAGAGCCAAAGCTCAAAAAAAAGGGAGTCAAAGAATTTTTAAGAGCTTCAAAATCTAGGGGAAGGAAGAAGGCACTCTCAAAAAATGCAAGAGGAGAATTAATTCTTAGAAAAATACTGTCAAGTCCAAAAATAGATGGCCCCTCCACTTCAGAGCTTTTGGCACGTTGTGGGGCATCTTGGGCGTGGCTGGCACAGCCCCTCTGGGATGGACTGGCCCCTGCAGGCTGGCACGAAATCTGAAAGGGGCAGGGGCAGGAGCTGGGACCATCTGGGATGGGAGGCTGCACATCCTGAAGGCTCAGAGGAAGCAGAGACCTGAGGGCTGTCTCCCAAAACCCACCTCCGGCGCACCTGAGGCATGCTGAAGGGAGATCTCCAGAGGGAGGGACCCAAACCTGAATCACTCCCTAGCACCAGTCCCTCAGGCTGTGTTGACTGCCCAAGAAGGGGTTTTGGTACTTCCTAGAAGGGCCCACCGTGGCACGCACCAGGCACCCAGAAATAGCACGGAGACCCAGGCACAGGAGACCCCAGACACCAGCCCAGCCCGCAGTGGCCTCCAAGCTGGTACCTTCCACAGAGGACAAGACCCCTACCCTGAAGCGACAGAGACCAACTGGTCTGCAGGTTAGAGGATGAGGTAAGGGGCCCAGAGAGGGAGTTTCTCCTCCTCTCCCAGGCCATTGGTCCCAGCACTGAGCCAGCCCCGGTGTTGGTTACCTTGTCCCTCTCCTTTTGGATGCCCGTCTCCAAGGCCACCAGTTTCTCCTGCAGCTGGTCCACCACCTTCTGTTCCTTCTGCAGCAGGGCCCGCTCTGCCTCCCTCTCCCCTTGTAGCAGTGCCCGTTCCATTTCAGCCTGGGAGCAATACCAGGGTCCGCATCAAGGCCAGTCAAGGCATAGGGACTCAAACCACTCCTGGGGCCTTCACTCTGCCTGGGGAGGAGCCCGGCCAGTCTCCAGGCTCACCTCTCGGGCTGACTCCTGCAGTTGCTGCTCCAGCTCCTTCACACGAACCTTGAGCTGCTCCACGCGCCCTAGCACCTGAGCCCGCTCCTCTTCCAAGGCCAGCACCTCTCCCTGGAGCTTGGTGCCAGGTGCATCTTCATGCTGGAGGGGAGGGAAGCCATCAGCTGGAGAAGCATGGAGCCTCCCAGGGTAGAGTAAGGAATGGATCCCCAGGCCTCAAGGCACTTGGATGGGGCAATTGGACTTAGGTAGAAAGCAAATTCCCTCCCTGCACGAGCGAGGAGCAATGCGGACCCACTTAAATGGAATAAAGCTCTACCACTGAGCGCCAGGCCTGGGTGGGGCCCAAGGCAAGGCAGGTCAGAAAGCATATTTATAGCTTGGCAAACTCATCAACACCTCCCTCTCTTCCTTGCCTCATTTCTACACTTCTCATCCCTGATCCCTTCCCAAACTGAATCCTTCAATTACGTCGCCCTCACTGGGCCTTGGCATCCACCACAAATGCCTGCCTGCTCTGCCTCCCAGCACATCCGGCCTCAGCCCTCACCCAGCCACCCCCGTATCCCACCTCCTGCTGGGTGCTCTCAGTGCTGCTGCACTCCTCCTTGAGATTCTCCTCATCTGAGCGGTCGACACTCTCCCACAGGCGTGGGGTGGCACCTCCAGGCTCCTCATTGCTCCGCCCAGAGGCCCCAGTGGCCCCTGAAAGGCCTCGTGAGGGCCTCCGGCCTGCCAGTGCCAGTGCTGCAGCGGCCTCCCCGATGCTGGGCAGCTCCCCGGCCTCAGGCGCCCCATCAGCCCGGCTGTACTCAGCGCACAGGTTCAGGATGGTCTCCAGGCGCTGTCGTTCCTGGGAAGAGTGGACAGAGCAGAGCATGAAGGGGAGGAGGCAGGGTCCTGGTGGAGCCAGAGCCAGGCACAGTGTCCTGACAGGAGAGAGAACTAGGATTCTAGTGGCTCGAGGCTCAGATCAAGTCAGGAATGCACCCCCTAAAGCCTAGCTAGGCAGAGGGAATGAGGTGCCCCAGAAGTGAGCAGGAGAAACCCGGCTGCTGTGTCACTTGGCCACATGGCTAGCCCCTACAGTCTTCCTTTTTCCTTTCCCTTCTCACTCTGTCCCAGGGTGGGACACACCCAGGCACACATGGGAACACACGCTGGGAAGCAGACAAGACCACAGTGAGACAGATAAACGCTCAGGTGCACATGCTGGCACAAATACACGAAGATCTACGACCCAAGGGACACAACACAGCAGCACTGACAGAGGACACATGTGCCCTTAACGGGCAGGTACACACAAACACCAGCCCTGACACGCACGAATGCACACTGGTGCACACTCACGCAGATAAACTGCACAGACAGGTGGGTGCTGACAGAGCTGGAGACAGACCATGGCCCACGGGCTGGACAAAGGGCACACAAAGGTGTGCTGAGCATGTATGCACCTGCCAGGCAGACCTGGGGCATGGTCCTCCCCCCACCTCAACCCCCAGTCACTCTCGGGCAGCCCTGCCTTCTGGCTCCTTCCCAGTAGGGTGGGCTGCGTAAATGCCCTGGCCCACATGAGTGCTCCACGACCCCTCCCCACACAGCCCACCCAAGATACCTCTCAGGGCTTAGGATCTAAAGGAAGGAAGGTATGATCACACTTCCGGTCCGTGTCCCCCTTTCCCATTCATAACACCCAGCCTCCCCATGGCTCTCCAGGGTCCCTCAACCTCAGGTGTCTCACCATGTGCAGTTTGGCCAGGACCCCTAGACACTTACCCAGCTTCCCTGCTGTTGCTTGCCTAGTTCCATGGCGAAACAAAAAAAACCAGGAACAGCCTCAGCACCCAGGAGGCTGGGCCAGTGCTCCCGCCCCTACCTCAGTACCCAGATAAGCAGCCTGGTTGAGGTGGGAGGGGCAGGGCGGGCAGCCTCCAAGATTTAAAGTGGCAGGTGGGGCAGGTCAGGGCTGGTGGTGAGCTGTGCGCTTGTGTAGGGGGTAGGGAGGCTGAATGGAGGAGTTGGGGGAGGCTGGGCCACTGCTCTGCCTGGCCAGGCTCGCTGCCCCTCTCCAGAGCGGGCCCCCAGGGTGGGCCCAGCTTTCTCATCTAGGCAGTGAAGAGGAGCAGCAGCAACAGAGGACTGGGGGTCCTACCTCATCTCTCCCCACGTAACACAACACACTGCCCAACACCCTTGCCTCACCCAAAGTTGTCCCAGCCTCTTCTGAAAGGGTCTTCAGACAAACCTCCTCAATTCTGATTCTCCTCCTCAAACCAATCTCAGGGCCCCTGCTACCCCCCCGCCCCGGGAACCCCATTCTACTGCTCACAAGAGAGAAAGTGCGGGATTCATTTTCTACATGTGCTCCAGTGTGCACACACCAGCCAGAGCCCCTCGAGCTCCTGGTGCTGTCTAGGGAATCCCAACCCCCACGCAGCTCAGATGCTCTCTCTAGGACAGCTGGTCAGAGCCACAGCCGGCTCCCGAATGCAGGCCAACACACACAACCACAATTACACAGGCTGGCCCAGACTGGGCCAGGGGCTGCCACCCACATTCCCAGGTGACCCTGCGTACGCCAGGGTGAGCAGAAAAGCAGGACCAGGGGCTTTTCTAAAGAACAAGACTTGGAAAGACAGACTCAGGTTCCATTCCCAGCTCTGCAACTTGCTGTGTGACCCAGGAAAAACCCACCTGCCCTCTGGCCTCAGCCTTCTCATCATCAAGACCTGCTTCTCAAACTGCGAGGGGCAAGGCCGCAATCAGAAATGTAGTGTTTTCCTAGCGCTACAATGTATTCAGATAAATGTGAAATTTTAGACATTAAAACAGAAGCTGTGTTATGGAATAGGCAGAATTAGCATACATTTAAAGTAGAGCCTTACAGGCTTCAAAGAAAGTTCTTCTTCAGGGCACCGGACCCTTGAGGGACTGGTCACTATGGTGTATCCTGGAGGAAGCCCAAGAAGCCCAGGCCCTGTCCATGGCCCCTCCCATTCTGCCAGATGGCCTGCCCACATGTTAGTAGGGACCCCGCAGAGGATGTCGGCAGCCTCCCTGGCACTTGCTCACCAGCCTCTCCATCTCCTGCTCCCGAAGACGCTCTTGGCGTTGCCGCCGGTGGTACTCCAGGAGGTCATCCTCATTGTCACTGATCTCTGTGATGCTATTTTTCCGCTCTCGAGTGACAGGCACCTGTAAGTCTCCACTGGAGAGCTTCCTCTGGGCACGGGGGCTCTGTCGGGGCAAAGCCCCAGTCAAAGAGCCCAGACTGTAGGCTGGGCTCAGCCTGCCACTGAAGCTGCCCTTGCGGGGTGCTAGGGACTCCCCTAGTGTGGGAGAGGGGCTCCGTGTCCTGCGGCCCCGTGCCCCCAGTGTCAGTGAGAAGTCCTCTGGTGAGGGCCCATGGGCTGCCCAGCGCCGGGGCCGGGGACTCTCTGCCATGTCTCTGGTTAGTCTGGGATCTGGGGTGGCCCGGGAGGGCATGGGGGAGAGAGCCCGTCTGGACAGAGACGGGCTCAAGGGAGGGAGTTCTCGCATACTGTCCAGGCCCCGCCGGCTCGGGCGCGGACTCTCAGAAGGCTGCAGGGTGCGGGTGGCTGACCCATCTGAAAATGTTCGGCCCACCAACTGGCGTGAGGGGCTGGTTGTCAACACCCGCTCAGTGCCTGGCAGTTCACGGAGAGGGCTGGGAGGGCGGTCCTGAAGTGTGCCAATCTTGTTTCGGGGAGCAGGGACTGGAGGCTGGAACTTGGGGCTGCCAGGAATGCTGGTAGGTTGGCAGTGGGCACTGGAAGCTGGGTATTCTCTCAGGCTGACAGCCACCACAGGCAGCTGCCCACCCACCCAGGGGCTCTCAGAGGTTCTTCGGGCCTCCGCCAAGACAGTAGCTGCAGGGCTGTCTGTCAGCAGACCCCGGAGGCCAGGGCTGGGAGGCCTCTCATGACCCGCCTTCCTGCCCAGCCGGGGGCTCTCGGAGGAGCGGGCGCCACTAGGCCAGGACTGCGGAGGTTGCAGGGCCAGATGGTAACTGGAGGAGCGAGCAGGCACCATCGGAGGTACAGAAGGGGCTGGCTCCTGCCCACTGGGTGAGTGGCTGGCACAGCTCCCACTGCTGGCTGGTGAGGAGAGTGGAGAGAAGGCTGGAGAGGTGTTCTCATAGCTGGAGCCCATAGACATGGCACCGGGGCTGGTTGGGGGGGACAACAGGTAACGACCACCGTTAGCCATCGGCGACAGTGGGGAAGTTGCAGCAGGCTTCTTGCCAGCAGCACCAGGTTCCTCTAGCACCAATGAATCCATGATTTCCTGCAGGTCCTTCTCAATTGAGCTCACCAGGGAGCTGTGGCTGGCATAGGCTGAGGCTCCCTGGGTTGCAGGCTGTGGGGTGTGGTTTCCATTCACCAGGCTCTCTGATTCTGTTAAAGGGAAATGCAAAGATGCTCAGGCCCTGGTCTTTCACTCTGGGGAGGTCCCTATGAGTGACAGCAAGGGCAGACCCCACCTCCTCCTAGCACAGTGGAGCCGTGAAGACTCCAGAGACCTGGGTTCCGGGCCAGCTATGCCACAGACCTGCTGTGCGGCCTTACCTGAGTCGCCTGCCCTCAGTCTCCCCATCTGCAGAGGAAGAGGACGGGTCAGGGTCCTCTGGCTCTGACATTCCGTGACTTAGGACAGAGCTGGCAACAACGCCAGGCACGCTAGGCCTGGTTGCTGCCCACGCACCCCAAGACCAGGTTCCTCCCTGCCTTGGTTTTCCCAACCTTCTAAGTCTCTCCTTCAGGAACGGCAGGTGGACATTCTGCAGAGGAGATGCGGGCATGCTGTGGAGCTGCCGAAAGTTGCAGGAGGGGCCCTGACCTAGTAGGACATTGGAGGCTCCAACACAGCAGCCAAGACCCAGGAAAACACACACACAAAGCCTCCCAGACTGAAGGAGGGGTGTGTGCTGCTCCACTCTGCCAAATCAGAGGCAAGGGAGGGGCACGGTGTGGACGGCTAGTTCCTTAAAGCCAGGCGGACCAGCAGCCAGGTGCAGCTCAGTGCCTCCGAGGAGCCCATTAAGCCATGCCAGCAAGAGCCTGCCTGTGCCCTGCCCCAGCCCTGGTCAACCAACCAGAGTAGCTGGAACCACTGCCCCAAACAAGGTTAGGGTAGGAGCAGAGTAAAACAAACGAGGGAATGGAGGGAATGGACTGGGGAGCCCAGGCATCTGAGCCCCTGAGGGGCTAGAAAAGACTAGGGGTGGAGGAAGAAACAGGAAAGACTTTACAAGACTGAGTTTGGGTCCAAAATTATGAGGGCTATGTAGGACCACAATCAGAGGGGTTACCATGGACACTGGTGGGATCCCAGTGACCACCCATCTTTCTTCAGATCCCCAGGCTATCCCTTTAAGCCACTGACGTCACCCCACTAGGTGTACATGACATACATGTCCACCTGTCCCAATACCACGTTCACATCTGTCATCCCACAGCCATCTGAATGCCCATGCAAAGTCTGGGATGGTGGGCCCACTGGCAGCTCCTGGTGTGCACCCCACTAAGCAGCTGGGCTGAGGGAGCTGTGCTGGTTCCCTGGGATAATCACCAGGGATCAATATTCATGCACAAACTGCAGCTGCTCCACTGAGTCATCAACTGCCATAGAAAAGCCTGGGGGTGGGGCAGGACCCAAGGGCATGATCGCCAGCAGATGAGACCCACCAGAGCTGAGATTCAACCTAACGCTTCCTTCTGCCCCCTGAGGCCACATTCAAGAGTGAGGCTCCCTGGTGGTAACACAAGAGGGTCAGGGTCCCAAACACCGAGGTGACATCTTCTAGGGCAGTGGGACACAAGCTGGCAGAGCCCTCCATCTCTCAGGCTCATGATTCCCTGGTGCAAGCCAAGCAGCACTTCTTGGATCTCTCCCAGTGGCCCATGGCAGGTGGCAGCAAGCCCAGATCATGGGTGTTGTCCTGCCCTGACACTAAAGCATGGCTGGAGTGGGCACAGAGAAGGACTATCCAGGGGGGTACCACCAACCCAATCTCCTGCCCCAACTGGGTACTTACCTGGGCCAGGACTGTAGGGGGGCCCAGGGGCCCGGCTCCCAGCCGGAATCATGCTTTTCATCCACTTGGCTTCAGCTGGGTGATTAAAGCGGAGGAAGGTGGACTGACCCAGGCACAACATGCAGCCTTCAGAGAAAGAAAATGCTTGGGATGGCAGGCAGGGCTAAGGTAACCTCCACCCCACTAGCAGGCTCACCCCTGGCTCCAAAGAGCCCTCCCACCTGCACTCACAGTGTCCACACTGTCCATGCCTGACCCTACCTATGCTTGAGAAAGGCAGGGCTCGAGAGCACAGGGCAGAGTGGAAAGAGCACTGGTTTGTGAGTCCCAAGATCCAAGGACTAGTCCTAACTCTCCTTCTTACAGGTGAAGTCACTTCACGCCCTGAGTCCAGTTTTCTCTCTGGAGAAATGAGGACAATACCACTGACCTTGCAGATAAGACAGTGCATGTGAAAGTGCTCTGTAAATGGAGAAAATTCTTCATACAACATGGACACCCTTGTCCCCCAACCCAACACAGACCCATGTCCTTTGGGTGAAAGGATAAGTTTGAGAAACAGCAACTTCTAGGATCACAAAAACTCTGAGGTAGGAGACAGGTAAAAAACGTGATGCCCCCTCAGGGACCAGAATTTGCTTCCTGACTCCAACAGCGGGGATGGTCACCACCCTTTCTCTCTGACAATGTACCCTCTGGCCTGATACCCTCCTACTCCTAGTCTCCCCTGGAATGAAGCCAACCTAGGCCAATGGGCCCAGCCTCAGCCAAGCACATTCCCAGGCAATAGACACAAGCCCAGTCCTGCCCAGGAAGTGTGAGTGCATGGAGGGGGGAGGTTATTCGGGAGCCAGAAAATGTAGCCAGGGGCACCAGGAGTGTGCACAGCGGCAGGTGTGCCCACAGGCGCATAAGCCTGGCTGGCAGAATTCCTCCCCTGGCCACACAAGTGCTAGAGAGCTCCTGCAAAAGACACTATGTTTGGAGAAGCTCCTACCACCCACCCTTCCAATTTGTTCACATCCCTGGCCCTGGCCCCAGCCGCCTATCTACCCAATCTGGTGCCACTTGGCACCCCAATCTTCATGCCAGTCTGAGCTGCGACTAGCAAGGAAATCTACATTCCTGGACGCTGAGACAGTGCAGGCCACAAGGGCATGGGGCATCCCAGGCCACGTGGGTACCTTAGCAGGCCCCCCACTGAGAAGCCTGTTGCTGGAACCCAGGACATTGCCGTGGGGGTGGGAAGACCTGGCAGACTGAGAGGCCCAGACAGATAACCATAGTGGACAAAGCCACCCACTTCTTTGGCACACCACAGGCCCTCCCAGGCAGGGGCACCAGCAACTCTAAAGGCTAATGGGTGGTTAGAAGAGGGGGAGCCTTCCTTGCCAAGTCACCAATCAGAGGAGCTGACCCCAAAGTAATCATAACCGGAATAAATAATAGCCAACTATCCATCTACCTAATTACAACCACAGCTGTTTCATGGAGAGGCCTGCCAGGCTCCTCCCCCTCTTTTCAGCCAGTTTGCAGGGTCTACACAGGCACACTCAATCCTCGGTGGATTGCCCAGCAATGCCAGGCCCACCAAAGAATGCTGCGGGCACCTACGAACCCTCAGTGCTGCCCCTCCTCTGCCCCTCACCCTCCTCCATACAGGAGGTGTGGCTATGCTGCCTCTGGACTATAAATAGGTGATGCCAGGCAACAGAGCTGGATCTGTATTAATAGAGTGGGCAGGAGGGCAGCAGGACTGAGAGAGCCCAGCTCCTGCCCAAATTAACTTTCTATTTGCACTCAGGGGCCCCGGTAATTGCCCCAACTTTAGTCCTATGCCCCTGGGGGCTTGGCCAGCCTATTTCTGAGAAGAAGCCTCCTCTTGCCCACTGCTGCCCCACACCGCCAAAGGTTAGCCCACTCAGGAGACCCAAGAACCCCTTCTCATCCTGGCAAAGTTGTGGTCGGTGCCCCCCTCCCCAAAGGGGCTCAGCGCCCAGTGCTGTGCAGATGGGAGAGCTGCCCATCTGGAGAGGAAAAAGCAGGGCAGAGAGTGGATCCTGTCTGAGATGCAGAGGGAACGCCACACACACTCTCACAGGCACACACACAGGCTCACACACACTCTCACAGGCACACACACAGGCTCACACACACTCTCACAGGCACACACACAGGCTCACACACACTCTCACAGGCACACACACAGGCCCACACACACTCTCACAGGCACACACACAGGCTCACACACACTCTCACAGGCACACACACAGGCTCACACACACTCTCACAGGCACACACACAGGCTCACACACACTCTCACAGGCACACACACAGGCTCACACACACTCTCACAGGCACACACACAGGCTCACACACACTCTCACAGGCACACACACAGGCTCACACACACTCTCACAGGCACACACACAGGCTCACACACACTCTCACAGGCACACACACAGGCTCACACACACTCTCACAGGCACACACACAGGCTCACACACACTCTCACAGGCACACACACAGGCTCACACACACTCTCACAGGCACACACACAGGCTCACACACACTCTCACAGGCACACACACAGGCTCACACACACTCTCACAGGCACACACACAGGCTCACACACACTCTCACAGGCACACACACAGGCTCACACACACTCTCACAGGCACACACACAGGCTCACACACACTCTCACAGGCACACACACAGGCTCACACACACTCTCACAGGCACACACACAGGCCCACACACACTCTCACAGGCACACACACAGGCTCACACACACTCTCACAGGCACACACACAGGCTCACACACACTCTCACAGGCACACACACAGGCTCACACACACTCTCACACACACACACTCACACTCTCACAGGCACACACACACAGGCTCACACACACTCTCACACACACACACTCACAGGCTCACACACACAGGCTCACACACACACACACACACTCTCACAGGCTCACACACACACACACACACACTCTCACAGGCACACACACACAGGCTCACACACACTCTCACAGGCTCACACACAGGCTCACACACACACTCACACACACACACTCTCACAGGCTCACACACACACTCACACACACACTCACACACACACCCATCTCACACACACGGACACACACAATTCACAGGCTCACACACACACTCACACACACAGTCTCACAGACACACACCCACACCCATCTCACACACACACTCACACACACTCTCACAGGCTCACACACACACACACACAGTCTCACGCACAGGCTCCCCCATCCCCGCACACTCACGCAGGCACCCGCCGCCCTGCTCACACCGGAGCGACAGCGGCTGCCTCCGGGCCGCACGCGCGGAGGGGGCGGCGGGAT